ACATCCCCTCTCCCAGTTTATAGAACTGCAGTTTATTTTCCCTCATGCCAAGATGCCCAGGCAAGAGGCACCTTTCCCTCCTCTACCACCCCCCGGCTCAGAGAATGAGTCATGATTTGGCCAGGCACACCTGGCGTCTTAGTCACCAGTGTCTTAGTCACTTTCCCATCAAAATACACAGCAAAATACCCAACACCTGCAGCTTCAAGGGAGAGAGGTTTATTTTGGCTCACAGTTTGAATCTATGGTCACAGACCCCAGGGCAGGATGGCAGGACAAGGTGCTCAGTCCACAGCAGCCAGAAAGCAGAAACAGAGGAGAAGCCTCGAATGAGAACACACCTTCCAAGTCACAGCCCCAGTGCCACGTCACTTCTGATCAGGCCCTGACCTCTGAATGTGGACAAAACATACGGTATACCACTTCTATTTGCTTGTTGTTGGTCAAGGGATGGGAATATGGCTAAGTTGGCCATCGAGATAGAAGTCAGCTGGGGAAACTTCTGACAAATATGTTTATCTCTGTCAAACATACATGAAGGTCAACATTTTATTTCCACCAGGAATTTGAGTATTTTAGGACTCAACGCTTGAAATATGGCAGCCATTTTGTATCTATGAGGTGATAAATCTGGGGTGTAAGTTGACAAGCTAAAGATAAGGCAGCAAAGCAAAAAGAGGCTAGTTCCACTTGTAACCTAAGTCCTGCTCCACACCTGGAACCACCTATCTTCAGATTACTTTTTGTGAGCGGTAATAAGTCTATATTGCCTGGGCATCCTGGTTGTCATCTAAAGGCAGGCAAATAGGAACTGGTGAGATGACTTATTCTAGCTTTTACTACAACCTTGGAATGTTTTACGAGGCAACAAATACAGTGAACTTAGTGAACAACAGAGGGAAATGGGGAGAAGCGGAACAGACAGGGAGAAAGCTTAAAAGGGCCACAGCATCCCAGGGAGCAGTGAAGCTCAGTCAGCTCGGTTCAGTGCAGCACAGTGCAACACAGCTTAATTCAATTAGCACTAACTGTGTATGTGCTACAAACAAAGTCCTTTGGGGTGTACAATGGTGGACAATATATGGCCCACTACGGAATCTCTCTTCTCCCTTTCCTTTGAAACCAGAATGAGTACCAGGCTCTGCTCCTAGATCATTTCTTAGTCCTCTTCACAAGGTTTTATTTCTTTTCCTACACTTCAAACAAGGGCATTTCCCAGGTCTCCTAGCAATGTTCTCATCTTATTCTCTGCAGCCCCCAAGGAAAATCTTCCTTGCATTCACCCATGGTTTCAACCATATCCTACCAGTAATGATGCTCATATTGGTTTCTCATGCTTTTCTTTTCTCCCACAATTAAATTCATCTCTTTACTAGCTTTTTCCACTTGGATCTCCTACAGAGACCCTAAGAAACAACAAATTTCCAACCAGATTCATAATCTTCTCTACCAAAGTGACTTTTGCTGCTTTCAGTCACCTTATCAGTGAATAGCACCTCCACTTAATGAGTTTATCAGCCAGGCTAGAGAACTACACCCTTGTTTCTGAGCCTTCCGTATCCAACTCCTATCTATTCTGGCTCCTAAGTATCTATTAATTCTGCTCCTTATATTCTTGCTGCCTCCTGATACTATAGTTCAAGCCTCAGCTAGATCAGTATATAACCTGATAAGCGGCTCCCTAATAATATTCCCTCTGCAAGATGTGCAGTATAGTTTTGCTTTGCTGTAGCCACATGCTACAGACTACCTTAGGCCTTACAGTGTCCAGGTCAAAGGCAAGGTGGGTGTACTTTAGCCCTGCCCAAGGGTGTCTAATAGAAACATGATAGTGCAAGCCACAAGTGTAATTTTACATTGTCTAATATTTGTATTAATGAAGTAAGAGAGAAACAGGTAAAATTATTTTAAGAATATATTTTATTTAACCCATTATTTAAACTATTAACATTTCAACATGTAACTGATACATAAAATTATTTAGATAGTTCACATTAGACATAGTTACTGAGTCTCAAAATCCAATGGGTAGTTCACATTTATAGAATTTTTTTCCTTTTTGGTGGTGGTGGTGGTATTTGGGGTTAATCCCAGGACTTTCACACTGAGATATATTCCAGCTGTCTTGGTTACTTTTCTTTCGTTGCTGAGACAAAATACCCAACGCCCAAAATGAAGGAAGGAAAGGTTTATTTAGCTTACAGTTTGTGGAGGTTTCAGTCCATACTTGGTTGGCTCTGAGGCAGAAGGTAGTAAACCAACAAGAGCAAAGAGGGGAATGGCAGCCGAACAGCAAACAGCCAGAGCAAAAGGGAGGAATGGCAGCAAGCAGCTTCTTTCCCTGCCTTACTTTATAAACAGGCTACCCCCACCTAAGGGGCGTGTAGCTCTCACGTAATCTCCATGCCCTCCTCTTCCACAGGCTCAGGATGTATACAAAGTAAGCACTCTGGCTTCCTGCTAAGTTACTTAGCCAAACCTCTAGACTCCCCAAGTTGACACAATGTATCAACCATAACACCAGCCCTTTTTAATTTAATTTATATTTTATTTAGAGACAGGGTCTCATTAAGTCGCTAAGTTGCCCAGGCTGGGCTCAAACTTGCAATCCTCCTGCCTCAGCCTCCCAGAGTGCTGGGAACAGAGATGTGTGCCACTGCACCTAACATACAGCACTTATTATGGGTCCAGTCTCATTTCAAGTGCTCACATCCTAAGTGGCTGCTGTACTGGACAGCGTGGCTATAAAGGCCAGCTGACAGCAGCAGGTGCCAGGGGAGGTCTTAGATCATCCCCTGCACTTGGACAGCCAGGTCACAGTAGCTACACCAGTGGCTCTTGGCATGAAGAGAAGAATCTCCCAGCTGGGCCCCACCTGAGTTGTTGGCCTACAGAATTCTGTGAAGATAATATGGCTGGTTCAAGTCACTAAGTTTCAGGGTATCTTAAAACACATCAATAGATATCTGACATAGTAGTGGAGAATATTTCTATTTGCTAAACAACAGCAAGTCCTAAGAGTTCAGGAAAAGTAGGGGTTAACTGTCCAAGGAGGATAAAGAAGAGTAATGCTAGCCCAGTAAAAGCAGTCCTCAGAGCCATAGTCAGCGTCAGAGAATTCACTTTTATTCAACACATTTCTATTTTGCCAACCCTGAATCCTCCTCATATGCTTCTATATTACTTGCCATGGGGCTTAGTCATTTACTCAAAGAAAAAATATCACTTGCCTACCACATACAAGGCATATGCTCGTGCCCAGTAACAGCAGAGGAGCCCACAGGCTCTTTTATGGGCAGGCCGGGTGCTGGGTTCCATGGAGGCCAGTGCTGGGTCCCCCTGATGGCTCCAGGTGTCCCAGTGGACTAGGCTGCGTTGAATTTGGCTGTGGCACGTGTATGGCCGCTGTTGTTTCTGGACCTCTGAAAGAGGCCTGTTTGGTCTCTTCCCCTCCATGTCCTTTCCCTGGGCTTGCCAGCATTTATCAGGCCCATAGAGCCCCCTATTGGAAAACCAACAGTGATCCTAGGCCAACCCACCCATGCCCACTTGGCCCCCTGTGCTCTTGTCCACAGTCTATTCTGACTGCTATAGGATGCAGGTGTGTGGCTGGGTGTCACATTAGACTCCATCAGCCACTTTGGCCCCCACGCCCCTGAGTCTTTTTTCTCCAGCCCCAGACATCACTCAGTGACCAGCTCTGTGGGAAGTGCCCACGTCATCTGGGTTCTACCCAGAGGTGCTTTCTGCAGGGGAATGGATGTCCAATGGGATGAACCTTTGACCAATGGGAAAGTGTGGCCCCTTTCCCCCCAGTGGACTGTCCTAAGGGACGGTCACTTACACAGCCCTGAAAGCCACTGCCACTCGTCAGGCTTGGCACCAAGTGGATGCCAAGTCAGGGATCACCATCACACTGGCCTGTGCTCCCTGCCTGCCTCTCCTGCCTTTTCGCAAATAGTTCTCTAGGGGTGCACATCCTAAGCCTGTGCCTCAGACTCTGCCTTCTAGGGGCCCCAGACCAAGAGGCCAAGTAACCCAGGAGCTCATCAGGGTAGAACTTTACATTCTATTCTCAGATAGGATTTTTGTCATCTTCTGTCTAGTTGCTTCAATGGTGACCTAAATTCCTGGTTTCTGTCTGAGGCTATACCTTCTCTGCCCATCCCATTATCCTTGCTCAGAGGCCTGGCCACCAGCAGGGCACATGAGTGCATCAGGGACACACGCCACCATCACGGCCTCTACTATCTCCTAGGACAGTGCCCTCGCATTAAAAGGACACGGACATCATTTTCTTGAGTTGGTTTTTAATGAGTTGTCATTTCCTTTAAGCTACTTAAAGCACTCCACCTTGGCATCTCTTTACACTTAGGTTAGGAGCAAGTGCTTGAGATCCCTGGTTCACTTCATTTGTCAGATGGAGAGCAGGTTGCTTGCCGTGAGGCCTGCCTGTGTTTCTCCAGTCCTCCTGGGCCCCTGCGGAGGTGCACATAGGTCTCCCAGGCTGCTCCCTGACTCCTGGGGCAGCCTCAGCACTGGAGTCAGCACAGGCTCAGCGCACTCTACTGAATGGATGGATGGAGAAAGGGATGGGTGTCACCATGGAGGCAGCTCCTGGCCTCTAGCCCAGGGATTGAAAAAGATGCAAACTCTACCTGGAGGTCTTACAGCAGGCAACTGAGCCAGACTGCTTGGTGCTCTGCATCTCCCTGTGCAGCTCTCAGAAACAGAGAGGCTCACAAAGCTTTTTCTGGGTTCATTTGACAACTCTGTTATTGCCTTCAGGAAATCTGACATCCTCCCCTTTTCACACACAGAGCAGCAGGAAAGGGAAATCAGCTGCCAGGGGAGTTACCCTTTTAAGCAGAGGGTGCTGCTGAGATAAGGTGGGGTCTGGTTACAATTAGCAGCAGGAACTGATGTTAATGGATTCTCCACGTTTGTACTCTGAAGACCTGATGACAGCTCCCAGCCACCGGATAAATATCGCCAATTACCTCCCGGTACAGTTGCCTCCTCTTCCTGTTCCTGGAATCAGGGAACTGTGAGAAGCCTCCCTCCAGTTTAACCTGTGGAAGAAAACAGGGCTGATGCATACTGGGGCAGAAATGCAGACTGCCTCCTTCAAAAAGGGGGCCTGCACGGAGAGAAACTCAAAAGTCCCAGATGTGAGATGACAATGACTCCCGTGGGAGACGATGTGGGTAAAAGTGAACTATAACCTATCAGGCTCGACTTTCCCAGCACCCAGTTAGGAGTGGCATCGTTCTCAGAAAAAACCCACTTCAGCACCAGGGGCTGCTGCCCTTGGCAAACACAGAACACTATAAAGAAGAGCTAAGACAGAACACAAAATCTGCCAAGCACCAGGACATCTGAAAACACCTGTACAGTTACACTGGATGCCCCATGGACTTTGTGCACTGAGGCACCGGATATTCAGAGAACTCTGGACACAGATGTTTGCCCGGATCTCCTCACCTGAGGTCTCTGACCCCCTCTGTCCCAGCCCTATAAAAAGGTTCTGTTTTTCTCTGTACCCCAGGCTGGTCTTTTCACCTTCTGTCTGCCAGCACCCAGGCATGTTGCCTTTACATGATCCTTGTGGTCTCGGCTGGTCTCTGCCTCATGCTGTTCCTTACATAAACCACAGAACTATCCCGAAGGGTAGTATCATCTGCTGATGAAGTAAAACATTTAACCTGAAAAATGGAGCACTTGAACCAGATTAAAAGTAATTGGTCCTGATACTCATAACAGGCATCAGGCTGCTTAAGAGAAAAAAGCGGAAGTGACCTGTCCACTCCGTTAACTGACAGAAGGAAGGGTGAAAAGGTGATGTTGAGACAAGCCTTTTGGAAGCTCTACTCATGGTTGCTATTGGTTTAATTTCACTGACAGGAAGATATTACAAGTCCACCAGGAAAAGAAAGATTTATGTACTAATTTTCCTTAAATTTAAAAAATAATAATTTTGGGCTGGGCATGGTGGTACATGCCTGTGATCCCAGCTACCTGGAAGACTTGAGACAGGATTGCTCAGGCTGTGTACCCACTCATTTGGTAACAGCTAGTCCACATTTCCAGCCTTAAACTTCCAGAGTCAAAAGCAAATCAGGTTCTTCAAAAAAATTAACTTTTTTTGCCTATAAAACCAAATTCCTCTGCTCATCAAAGCACTCACTGTACTATAAAGAATGAGGTGTAGTTCAAATCTAAAAATACAGATAAAGCCAATTAGACCTTTAAACTTTCTTATAAATGTGTCTTTTGATGTGTGTAATGAGCTTGAACCTGCTGGTTCTAGAAGTCATTCTGCACTGCAGGGAGGACAGTTTGGGAGCTAGCTACATCTGCTGGGTACACATCCTTAGGTAGGAGAGAAGAAGTAAGGATAGAAAGGAGACTGTACCTTTAAGCCATGGTCAAAGTTATCCTGAGTTACCTATCTTTCACTCTCTAGGCCCATCACCCCCAAATTCCCAAAGATTCCATAAATGCCAAGAGTTACATCAAAGACATCCATTTTCAAAAGAAATGGTACATAAAACTATTAAATGAGGACCACATCTCCAAACTTCAAGCACATAGAAATTGTTCACATTTTAACCTAGTGATAAATTGAGTTTTTGTTTTAACACACTGAAGAGCAACAATCTGACCTTAAGGTAAAGAGGCAGACACAAGGCAAATGATAAATGATTAAAAGAATGCCTTTAGGAAAAACATCTTAGATCACCCATCTTAAGGATACTCCCAAGATTTTAGATAGATAGATAAATAGATAGAGAGACAGACAGACAGACAGACAGACAGACAGATCTCCCAGGCGATGGTGCTCCTCACCCTTGAGTTTCCGCACACTATCTCTCGTTTAGTGTGCACTGCTACAACTCTAATAGACATCAGCCCCCACCTCTCACTGATCTGTCCTGAAATTCCTTCCTGCAGTGAAACATCCAGAACCTGTCTGAGCTAAGGTTCCCATCTCTTCAAAGGGACCTCCTTGGACTCCATCCATCAACAATATAAATACCCAAAGGCAAAGAGGGAGACAAATATGAATGGAGACCAGTGACAAAGACATCAGGAGACAGCAAGCCCAAGAGGCCATTTGCAACCTCTGGTGGTGAACTGTGAATAACAGTGTTGCTTTATTGCAAGGCCTGGGGGCACAGATTGCCTTCTAACAGCAGCACCAGATGGGTAAGAGCCAGGACCGCCCAGGCTGTTTACCCACTCGTTTCTTAACAGCAGATACATATTTCCAGTCTTAAACTCCCAGAGTCAAAAGCAAATCAAGTTCCTCAAAAAATTAAACATAGAATTACCAAATGATTTAGCAATTCAACTCTGGGTATATATATCCAAAATAAGTGAAAGCAGAGACTTGGAGAGATATTTGTACATCTACGTTCACAATACTATTTTTCACAAGAACTCAAAGGTAGAAACAATCCAAATGTCCACTAACCAATGAATGAATAAATGAAATGCAGTATATCCATACAGTTGTATGTGATTTAACAATAAAAAGAAGTGAAGTACAGACACAGGCTATATCAGGGGTGAATCGGAAGGACATTATGCTAAGTGAAATAAACCAGGCATAAAAAGGATAAATACTGTACGATTCCACTAACATGAAGTTCCTAGAACTGCCAAATTTATAGAAACAGGAAGTAGAATGGTGGTTACCAGGGGTAGGAAAGGCAGGAATCAGGAGTTATTTTTTAATGGGTAGTGTGTCAGTTTGGAAAGATGGAAAAGATCTGGAGAAGAAAGGTGGTGATATAGAGGTAAAGGTACATAACACTGTCAATGCACTGTGATGCCATAGACAAATGTATGCTTAAAAATGGTTAAATGGTAAATTTTATATTATGTATATTTTATCACAACTTTAAAACAAGGCAAATCAAACATAAGCTCTTTTGGGGATAAAATAAAATCACAACCCAGTTTTAAAAAAACAGGCCAGATTATTTGAAATCAGGAAGAGTCTACAAAATCTTAACAACCTACAGCTGTGCTAACTTGTCTCTAACTAAGACACGGTAATTTTAGAAGCACCAGAATGGGCATGTGGAACTGCTGGGTTCTGGTTCCAGCTTTGTTACTAGCTAGTTAGAGGACCCTAGGCAAGAAGGGATGTCTCCCTGGGCATCAGTTTACTGATCTGTAGAAGGGGTTCGAATGAGATGACCAAAGCCCTTTTAGCTAGGCCAAAGTTCTCAAAATATGGTCTTGGAGCAGCACCTAGCAACATTAAAAAAGCACACAACTAGCAGGGCATGGTGGTACACACCTGTAATTCCAGCATTTGGGAGGCTGAGGCAGGAAGATTGCTATGAGTTCAATGCCACCCTGGACTACATAGTGAGCTCAAGGCCAGCCTCAACTACATAGTGAGACCCTGTCTCAAAAAAAAAAAAAAAAAAAAGTGCACACAACTGAGCCCCACTCTAGAATGAATCAGACACTGTGGGTGAGCCCAGCAATCTGGGTTTCCACAAGCTAAGCTCTGTGCGAGAGCCACTGACATGAGACATTTTATGTTTCTACAACTAATAATGACCTGTGTAAGTCACATTTTTAAGGAAATAAAAAGCACAAACATCCAAACACATAAAACAAATGCATTAGCAAATGAATAGGAATAAGGAGGATAATTACTTTTTTAGAAAAAATCAGGTGTAAAGTAGCAAATCAACTTAAAAAAAATTAACATACCCAGATAAATGCTGTCCTTAAAAGTTATAATAGTCTACCCCTGGCTGTTCGAACAATGTACTTACAGCTTGAAACATTTTTTTGCAACCTACTTAGGAATTTTGAGGCTGAAGGAAATCAGCTTCATTTGTTTGGAACTAAAAGTCTCTTCATTCAGCTTGTTCCTCGACTGGCTGTCCTGATTAGGCTGTTTCCAGAACTCAGATTCCTTCTAAAAAGAAGATTGCCCAACGTTGAAGAGGTTTAAAAAAATGTGTTGCAGGGCCAAAGGCATCAAAGCATCACTCCAACAAGCTTTGGGTAATGACAGAATTATCTGTGTGCCATCACCAAGGGCCCGTCTGGAAAGGGGCAGCACTGGCCTCACGCATGCTCAGACCTGAGAATGGAGGCGACAACAGGAGCTACTCTTGGAAACATGAACTCACGTTCCCACAGGAACAGAATTGTCTCACCATTTCACAGATGAAGCAACTGAGGCCTGGGCCAGCAGAAGGAACAAGGACTTGTCTAAGGCTATGGAACGCGTATGTGGATCTAGAAATGAGCTTTTCTACGGAATGCTGCCAGGACGAGGGGAAGGCCCCGCCCACCAGGCTGTGATGTCAAATCAGAAGACGAGGCCCCCAGCACAGCCTTTCTTCGTAAAACAAAAGATGCCTTGAGTTGACTATTCAGGTCCTATCTGGTTAATTCTTTCTCCTTTGGTGGGTTGGAAAATATTTCTAACATCCCACAGAGTCCAGCATGAGCAAAGGGGGTGGAAGATTCTTTCTCCATGGAGCCACACAGACTTTCTGGCCGTGGGGAAGGTGGTGCCCAGTGCCCTGTGCCCAGGGGAAGGGTGTGGGCAACGTGAAGGTGAAGATTCTATTCCCAGAGCCACTGGCCACCTGGAACCTGTGCCTGGTTGTGGCTGGAGGACTTCTTCCTCGTCTCCCATGTGATAATAATGGATCAAGTTATTTTTCTAGACCCACTTTCACTCCTCTAAAGGCCTTTAAAGGACCATGCTGTGTTGTGTTTTTGGTGGTAGTGGGATTGAACCCAGGGCCTTTGGACTGAGTTACATCCCCAGCTCTCTCTTTTTAAATTTTGTATTTTTGAGACAGGATCTTGCTAAGTCATTAAGCTGCCCAGGCTGATCTCGAACTTGCGATTTTCCTGCCTGAGCCTCACAGAGTGCTGGGATTACAGGCCTGTACCACCATAGCCAGCTACTTGGGAGATTTTAAGCACTCTCATATTATTTCAGTTAGTTACTCAGAATATGTCCTGGCTGATTTGGAAGTACTCCATTCAGAGAAGTCCTGGTTTTCTTTTGTAGTGCTGGGAT